AAAGGGTTAGTATAATATCGCTAATAGGGCGGAGGGAGAGGCGACAATGACTGTCCTTGCTCTGAATTTAAAGCTTAAAGACAAATGCTTCATATTTAGAGCATGCAGGCTACAAAAGAAGCAATTAAAGGGCATTTTCAAAGTCCTTCATTGGCATCTATTACTTTTGTAATTCAGTTTTGGGTGATTTTACTGTAACTAAAAAATATATAAAAAAAAAAAAAAAAGAAATACATTTTACATTATTACTTTAATGTTATCACTTATATTTGTAATTATTAAATGCTAATAGGGCACTTATCGATTATTACATCTTAATTACCCTGCAATAACTATCTTATTGTATTTTAATTAAATTCTTAATTGTTGCTTAGAGTTCCAGCCGTTCTCTCGTATAATCTCCAGGTTTCATTAGCTGAAGCATTAGCCTTTGGTAAAAGGGCATGATTTAAAGATGTGTGCTACAAAAATTGGGTTGGATTATATTTTCTAAAAATAATTGGGTAAGAGGGAAAATAAAGCTACTGTATTCCAAGAGTGGGGAGATATCTCTCGGGAGCAAGGATGCAAGCAAAAACGCAAAAGGATTTCATTAAAATCCTCGAAGTGAAACGTAACTTTGCCAACCCAAAGATTGTGCCCTACGAAAGTAGAATTGACGGGGATTAGTTAGCGGTATATATTGAAATGTTAGCAACCTATCAGCATTCAGTTCTTCCCTCTCAGCTTCAGTGGCTTGAAGCAACCGCCGCAGATTTTCCATTTTTTATTTTTTTTTGTGAGTACGTCTGACAGAGAACATGTAACCTTGAATCTCGAATTCTTACACATACTTTGCAAATTCTAGAGTTTAAAATGCCTGCTTTAACTGCGATGGTTCAATAAAGTGTAATTTCATTAATGATCGAAGAAGAAAGATGCTAAATACGTGCGCTGCTGGCGGTGTTAATATTTTCATTTTTTCTTTATATGGCGCCAACATGTTCTATAGAGATGTACAACATGCATGCATCTATTGAATCATGGTACTAAATGATGCTTTATTACATTTACAGGGTGAGATACACTAACATGGGAACTGTCAGGAATTAAAAGTACTTTCATCTATGATTATATGTTATCTGTATCCTGACATATCTTGAAAAATTCAATTAAAATAAAATAAAAAATAAATAAAAAAGATTAAAAGTACTTTCAGAGTGAATGTCAATTTTAAACCAAAACAGCCGAATTATAATTTTTTTTTTTTAGAGAAAAGTCATTGTTTATATAGCTGGCTTGTAACACCTCTAGTGGCAGTCACTCAGACATTGAGCACAGAGACGCTGAACGGTCATCAGAGAGATGCGTTGATTTTGCCATGTTTCCTATGGAAAAACATTGCATTGGCTGAGATGATCAAGACTGATGATCTCAGACATGAGGTCAAGCCAGGCGGGGCCAGCTGGGGTGATACCGGCACGGGGAAAAAAGGTGAGTAAAATCACCTTCCTTGTTTCAGCATCAATGGGGGGCGGTCACCAAAACAGCCCCACAGCCTTGTATTCCTGACACTATAGTGTTCCTTTCAACACTGGGACATCCCCATGCACTTAGTTTAAAGAACCACTATAGTGCCAGGAAAACAAACTCGTTTTCCTGGCACTATGTAGTCCTTAGGTCCCCCCACCTTCATGGCCCCCCTCTTCCTGGCGACATCAGCACCAAATGCGCCAAATTACTCAATGCTTTCCTATGGATGTCAGCGTCTTCTCACTGTGATTTTCACAGTGATAATCGTGGAACCAGCCTCTAAAGGCTGTCAGTGAGACAGCCACTAGAGGCTGGATTAAAGGACCACTATAGTGCCAGGAAAACATACTTGTTTTCCTGGCTCTATAGGGTCCTTGGATCCCCTTCACCCTCTGGCCCCCCTCTCCCGCTGGGCTCTAGGGGGAGGAAGGGGTTAATCCCTTACCTTTTTTCCAGTGCCCTCTGCGCTGGGGTCTCTCCTCCTCCTCTCCCCGTCATTGGCTGAATGTGCATGCGCGGCACTAGCTGCGCCGCATTCAGCCAGTCCACAGGAAAGCATTATCAATGCTTTCCTATGGATGCTGGCGTCTTTTCACTGTGAAAATCACAGTGAGAAGCAGGGACGCGCCTCTAGCGGCTGTCAATGAGACAGCCACTAGAGGCTGGATTAACCCTAAAGTAAACATAGCAGTTTCTCTTAGGGTTAATCGTAGATCATTGAGCTGAAGTGGTCTGGGTGCCTATAGTGGCCCTTTAAGAGAAATGAATTAAAGGAATGTGTGTTCCACAATTAAAGAGCACTTAAAAGGTAGCACTGAGGAAGGATGCTCTTTTTTTCTTTGAATTAGTCTCTGGACCCCGATATGCCAAGTAACACATGTTTTCTTTACTGACACCTTCCTAGATGTCAATTCAAAAGCCATGCCAAGATCCTATGGTCAGTGCCATAACTTTGGCCACATTCTGGAACCTGTGATACAATGTGTTTTGGTGCTATGTTCCTCCCTGTATAATGTGTTAGCAGCATAGTATTCAGTCCCGGAAGCCTAATAACTATGCAGAGGAAACTTACTGCCAGGGAAATTAGTCATTAACTAATAAAACAAATATCTCTGAAATAATTTATATATGTACAACGATGTGTAGGTGGCAGGTCACTTCTCAGGAAATGACAATTGTTTGCTGTTGAAATTCAATGGAAACACCAGGAAAACATAGGAAACCCGATTTTTCTAGTGGGACACAAAATGACAAACAATTTGTAAAACATCACCAATAATTATTGATATAAAAGATTATTGCATACAGTACGTGGGATGGATTTTGTTTCTTCTTGGTCTGTTGAATACACGTGTTTTGTTTTGTACTTGTACAGGGTACATCTGTGGAGTAAATGTTTGGCCCGAACAGAAGGAAAATCTCTTAATCATTCCCAAATAACTAACAACTACTTAAACAGATGGTGGATGAGTCAATTGAATCTAAAACCAGAAATCTTAGTCATTGTTATAAATCTCTTGTAATGGATATTGCATACCTGACACTCAGCGAGTAGCAAATTGTAATGTAACTCTTCATGTGCCTATCAGCTCAATGGACTGTTTTTTAAAATTGAATTCTAAGTATTAAAAATAAAAAAATATATACCAGTATATATAAATTGATTCATGCGGTGATGAGAGATGAGTTTTAATATTCAAAGGGTTCTGCTATATTTCTCATTTTTATTCCCCGAATTAAATCATAGTACATAACATTGAAAGGTATGAAATTAGGATAGTAGGGGAGCAGGTAAGGGAGGGTATATGCCAGTGTCTAAATGCACATCACCAGTGCTACTGGAGGCTGGTCCTCGGGGGGCAAGGGTGATCAGTGATACTCCCTTCCAGGTTTTTTTTTGCTGCAAAAATAATCAAATCTATTTGCATGATAAGGACTAATGATATGTGTGTGTTAGGAAAAATATGCTGTGTCCTACCATTATTGATGGCCCATTTTCTAGCTATAGGCCCCTCAGA